TAGAGCACTGGAACTGAGTTAAGCTTAAGTAAATTTTGAACCGAGGTTGAATACCATGCGTCAGGTTAGGCTGCTATTTTACGTAAAAAAGTTTGAAATAAGAGGGGAAAGAGGCAGTAAAGGGTCTCACTTCGTGCCTTTTGAGCGACCGACTCATGCTTATGCCTACGGAACGCCAGTAGATAACTTCTCATTACGTCATTTCCTTAATGTTCCAGGTGTTTTCTTCTTTTTGCAGCCCTAAAACTTCCCAAAATGTCCTTATCCTTCCACCTTAAATATTGTTTTAAAAATCTCTCTGCCTACTAGTAGTAGTGGTAAATTTGGACTAGCTCTTCCAAAAAAATTGAAAGTAATTGGTAGGATTAATGAGTACTGACAAGTTATTTACCCTTAAAACGAATTACTTCACTCGCAAAGGGTACTAACTTAGCAGTTTAAAATTTTAGGCCAGGGAATTCTACTTTAAAAAATGAGGTGACTGCTTTTAGTCAAAGTCCTTTCCTTTGGTCTGCCCAGGTTCTCACGTTTCCAAAAACATCATCGCCGATGGGAAAATGGTCTTAGATAGTAAGTAGATACTAAGACTGGTGAAATCTTAGCTTAATTTTGAGTTAAACCTCTTAAAAGGGAATTAGCTACCCTCGCTTTAGGATCATTCAACTTCTGTTCAGCAGTTTTGTCGGTAGAAGAGCTTTGCTACATCATCTGGTGCGACCACTTGCTATGAACAGACAACGAATGTACCAACAATTGAACATGCTTAGAAAAAATAACAGGGCTTTTAGTTCAGAAATAGGAATAAGCCATTAAAAAATAAAATTTTTTCCTTTTTTCCTTTACTTATACCCTTAGGCGGTTAAAGACGTCTATATAGAAGTTCTAGTTGCCTAAACACTCTGGTTGGGAGGTAAACAGGATTCAGGGCACTTTGTGCATTCCCTTTATCTCTGAACTTTTTATCGAACCAAAGTGGCAAATTAACTGCTCTTTGAGCAATTAGAAAAGGCTTTCAACTTATCTAGTTTCGGTGATTTAGGCATTTCATCTACCAAATTATCCTGCTGTGTAGTCCTCCAACGGTCATTTCACAACCTTGTGAAAGTTGAATAATTGCTTTCAACTTCTAAGGATTGATCTTGGTCACATAAACTTGTCTATATAAACTTTTTCTGAAAAGGGAAAGCCAAATCGCACGAATTAATACTTGGACTTGGAAGAGTTAAAGGCTTTTTAATCGCACGCGTTTTAGGTGGCTCACTTTCACTAAACAACAGCAGCACAAGGTGGAATTTAATATGTCCAAGTAACACCTGCCTCTTAAATTAGCCGCAATTACCTAAACCTGACTACTCCATAAACTCACCTGCCATTTAAATGGCTCGTCAATTCTGATACTCACTTGAAAACAGCAGCATCTCCGTTATTGAAAAGGAATTTCTTTTAACAAGTAGTTGATTTATTTTACCTTCATTCTGAGAAAAACCCTGGCAACGCCCCCACATCCACAACTTGGAGTAGGAATGATGCAGCAGGACTGGTATTTGGAGTGCCATCTCTGCTTTGAGTTTTTTGACCAGTCGCTTTGATGGACGTCAACACTTAGCCATCTCTGCGGCAGCAGATAACGACAGGTAAGTCAGCATTATAGGGAGAAGAAGATCCCCTTGAAAGCGAACGTAGAGGTAGTACGTGTGACTTAGATCCATGCCTTAACTGAGTCATGACTCTGGCCAATTCTGCCATTGAGCCTTTTGCAAATGCCACCCAACATATTAACGTGGGGCCTCTATGGCATTGAAAGAGAGTTAACCTCAGACCGTAAATCCGCAGACTAGCTCCAGTCTGGTGCGTCACGTTGGATCGGTATTTAATGTGAAAGAGTTGGAAAGATAGAAAAATCAAAATAAGGCGCAGTATAGAGTGCCGTATCGTACTGTGGCGTAGTGTGCTTTACCCATTCACCGACATGTCTGTGTCTATGGTAAGCCACTAAAGGCTATTCCTCCCCATATTTTTCACCGAAAGACCTATTCGAAGAAATTGCAGTCCGATGTAATGTGGTAACTGTTCACAATAACGGCTTCATGGGAGAATACTTATAAATTTGTGAAAAATATATCAATGGTAAGAACAGAAGTATTGTCTCTGGTCTAATCCTATTTGGTAAACGGAAACCAAAGTAATTCATGGATGTAATTGCTTTAGCATCGCATTGCGTGATAAACAAAACTCCATCTTGGTCAACTTTATAACTCCATCTAGTTTATTTTAAGTTTATCTGTTTCTATAAATTCTGAGAAATAAAGGATTGAAACGGTCTCTAGATCGTGCTTCCTAGTTTCGAGGAAAATGGAATTATTGCTTAAAATAAACATCAATCCTCTTAGGCTCATTTTTTGTTTAGAACCAAATACATAAACTGGAAAGTAGGCGTCACATCTGAAAAGTAATTCAGTGAGATAAATGAAATCGAATGTTTTTAAATTCATCCCAAATCATCTCATGTGTCGTTTACTTATTCTTATTCAGTAATATCAATGTTAGATACTGAGAATATTATAAAGATGATCAAATGTCAGAGCTGCTTCACCATCTTCATATCGGAGCACTTGCTCAAGTTTTAAATATTGGCTTAAATAACATCTTCAATTGTTTTTCTACTTTCGATTTAATTGTGGTGGTTTGATATTTTGCTAAACTCCGTGGGTACCGACACAGGCACCTCCGTCGCCATGGAGAAGGCTGTACTTCCACTCCACTCTGTGCCATGGTCTTACAGCCATGCTAAATATTCCCGTGGATCTTCTCTGCATTATTAAATGGTGCATTCCATCATGGCAGCCTGACTTATTACAACTTCAATGGCTCGGATCTCTACTTAAAATGAAAAACTGATTTATAAGTATGTTCGCATTACTCAATGGCACCTCGCGATCTGTGTGAGAAGGGTTTTGTGCCACAACCCTGAAGTAGTAAGCGATTTCATGCGTGACTGCAACAAGCTTCCAGCACTATCTTCTGTTTTTCCGTTGCCTTCTTCTCTACACTGAGCGACATTGCGGTCATATAAAATAAACCAAACCTTGGGATGATAAGGTAGGCAGTATAGAACTCATTTATCTGTCATGTACTCAGAGCTAGGAGTAGGGGATGGCCAATAACGTGAGTTTGCCGTGTCCAATCCACTTGCTATTGCACCCAAGTAGTCTTTGAAAAAGGCACTAATTTAACTTCGAGGACTCATGCCTGATTTCCATGCTACTGTCGCAATCCTCTGAACTACTTTTGAATCCTTTAAGCATTATAAGTGCGTGGCTCTCCGATTTTCTTGGCATCTGCTGCTTTTTTGTCAAAATTGTGAGCCGGAGGGAAGAAAACCTGTATACTTAGAAGGATGGGGAGAGCATAAACAGAGCATAATATCATGCAGTTGGAATCGCTGGGAAATAAAAAGTTCTTAAGTTGATCGGTTTATTGACTTATTTGTTTTGTGGATTTATTTTGAATGGAAAAAACCACCAACAGAAAGACAATTGGACAATTTCAGCTTTCACACTGCGAACGTCTGAAAACGTCCATTAATGGGTGCCTAAGGGCATATTCTACTACCTAATAATTCTACAGACATAAAGTAGCATAAAAGGCCTATAAACCTGGATAACTTAGCTTAACCGCGTCATCTCTTTGTTCTTAGGGCTTTGCATCGCTGTTCTGATTAGGTCGTATTCAGGTCACCTGTCCCTTCTGCACGTTAATAAGAGGTTTTCTTCCAATATGACATTTGGATTATGCTACTTCGTTAACTGCACCGTTTCCTTTGAAGTGGAGTAGTTAAATTAATTTTACCTAGTTTCCTTTACTTAAAAGAGACCTGTGAATTTGTCACCCTAAATGCTTGTAACATTATTTGTGGTTAAGATAGCGCTATTTTAAATTATCATGTAAAATGCTTGAATAAAAAACAGAACATTGTATGTTCTCAGAATTATCGTCCATTTTCTCAGTGCCATACCTTCTGACAAACTATTCAAAAGTAATGGGGGAACAAAGAAATATAGAAACGCATAGGAAATATAATGAAGTGCTTTGATGACGCAAACTAATGTGTAATACGATGGTGGTTTATTCCTCGGTATTGGTAAGGCGCCACTTCTGGACTTCTGAATTAGCCTTTTTGTAGCACACTGGGTGGAGTGACCTTCGGACCATGCTATCAGCCCAGACAAACCCTTGTGCCGATTATAAATTCTGCCCGAGTATTGTGCCTTCTTTCGTCTTCATGGAAGTCTGGGGAGGCTACAAATGGTTTTATTTTCATATGAGAGTAGTAGAGTCTAATTGTTCCGGTTAAAATTGATCTGGAGGGGTAATTTTCCCGTAATTTACTATGCGCAGTACGAGAATTTTAGATTATATACAATGGAAGGAAAACCACCGTAAAAAAGTGAATATTTTAAGCTCTTTACAATTACTCATAATTTGTGGTTATACTGAATATAAAACATAAATTAGCCTAAAATACAAAAATAGACGTAAATAAAGCCAGTAAAATATTGCAAAATGCTTAGACTTGTGCATCACAAATGAATAAACAAATTTACTCAACATTAACGCGTTTTAAAATGCCACACATCTTTTGAGGAATTCAACGCCACACAAATTCTGACTGTATATTGTTTACGGCCCAAAACTCTATGTATCACTAAATCATTAAAAAGCTGACACTTTCTTTTTACTATTTTCTGCCCGCGTCTTTAGAATTGGTCCTGAAAGCGTACACATCTTTGATTCCGTGTGTCATTCCGTTCGTATTGCGTGCAGAGGTGTTGATTGGCACTGGGAATATACGGTTCAAATCCGACTTTTTTTAGGTATCTTATTGGTATAGACTGCGGGCCGAAATTTTGCTTTTATTCCTTCTTGTTACTTTATAGCATTTCGCTGAATATCAATAAAATAGTGTTATAGACGACTCCTATTTTTCCAAATTTACAGGTATGGAGCCTTGCAAGCCAATCTTAGAAAACTTCGTGGTAACATACTTGTATATCTATCCACTGCATTTTTATAGAGTATTTATGAAACCGCATCTTCCTCGGAAAACAAAAAGGAAAACAAAACAGCCAACGTGTATCGTCCACCACATCTTAATCCAGTATTTTATGGTAATATATCTGCTCAGTATTGGGAAACATCCACTGTTCCTGAATTAACCTTTCCGTTTGTATGCACAAAATTACACACTTGTCTTGTGACTGGTTTTCTGCTTGAATTTGAACATCGCGTCTGTTCTCAGATGGTGAATCAGCAGGTCCGACAAAGAAAGTCTCCAGAGAAAAACGTAGAGCAGCCAAACGGCTGCTGGAAGATGATGATATAGTGAAGGAGGAGGATTTGCCAGTTGAAATTTACGTATGAAACGTTTGCTATCATCATTTTCTAGTATGGCTCCTCCAACACAGACGCGAGATTCCTTGCTAAAATGCGGGAACGAGAAAAGTAAATGCTGATTGCATCACTACTTGAACTTATAGATATGAGGAAGAAAACTTTACCCGCGTTTCCCTTAATAAACGGGAGCGACTGATGCAAAAACGTCTCGAGCGCGGTGAATTTCTCGGTACTAGTGCGCGCATAGATCACATTAGAAAGTTGCTTGAAAGTGTGCGTTTTGTTAGCTTGGCGACTTTATTTCTGCTCTCATTTCTTCAAACAACGCCTATTATTTTGTCGATTTCAGTCGGATGACGAGGAGGAAATGAATCTGATTAATCTCAAGGTAGGTGGGTCAGCAGTGTGGATAGATGTTTTGTAGAAGAAAAAGAAGAAGCCTAGAAAAAACAAACAATGGAAGGGTGGAAAGAAGTATAGGAGACGCTGACAACTGTGATGTACTCTGTCAATCTTGTAAATATATTTGTATATTTCTATGCTTTTCCTATTTTAACTACTTTGTTCACGTTGGGTGCATATTTGTGTCTGGAAAGAAACCTCTTCCTTATTAAAAAGTCATTTATTTCATTGTTTTCTTCTGTGAAGATAAGGTGTATCCATTTAATTGTAGATTTCACGGGACTGTTGCATGACTTAGGTCGCCTAAAGTGGAATTATTTATTGCTTTTTAACACGACTTTTAGTTTATGCGAAACCGGTCTATTTATGCAAACTGCACTCGTGGGGTATGGTAGTGGTTACTACAGAGAGCTAATTTCAGGCTTTATTACGTGAGCAGATTGTGTGATCTTCCGCGGACTCACTACAACTCTCACGCGGCCACAGAAATTAGTCATTAACGTGTATATTACTTACAAAGCTGCCAGTGTTTGCTGTTTTTTAAAGGCGCGTCATGGGGATATACGGTGATATGACAAAGATTTGCCATTAGATTTAGGTCCCGTAATCGACATTATCGCAAAGTTTCTACACTTTGACAATTAACAAATAGTTATTTAGAAAGAAGTTTAGGTGATTTTTGAATTTTATACTCAACACAAATATTTAAAGCGCATTCGCTGCCGGGATGATCCTCGGTGGTCCGGGGTGCAGGCTTCAAACCTGTAGCCGATTAGCGTCGGAGCGGTTCAATTCCGCCTTCCTGGCGTTCGTCCTTATCCCCGTAGGCTGCAGCACCGTCAGAGCGGTTTTGTGCTCTCGACGGAATGGGAAATGCTTGTGTAGTTCGTCTGGGAGTCTCCAAGCACACCGATTCTCCAGCCTTGTCGATGCGGCGGTTGGTGCACTGCGGAATCCGCATGGACGCGAAAGTGGGGAAGGCTCGAAGAATTCTTATTATTTATGCGTAGTTTGGTCCAGTACTGGTTTGTCGCGATCTCACACACATTGGGATCTCGTCTAATTTCCTGTCGGTTAAAGATCCTCTTTCAGTGCTCATAACTTATGGAATTACCTTGGCTCCGCTACTCTGAGAGTCTTTTATGATGTCTAAGTTTATGATTTCTCCTCTTTTGGAATTCCTGGCTCCCAACTATTTGTTGATTTAGTATAAAGGCCAGAGAAGTCGCTGCACAATCAAGACCTAGGGGATCGCCGACAAATGGCACCGGAGCGGAGTGCTAGTGCGGTTTCCTTAATCACCGTTTTGCGTGCCTCACCGAAAACCGTGGGAGATTAAGATTAATTGTTAAATGAAATCTACGACAATGGATGCGTTTGGAAGTTGTACGCTTTACGAACCGTGTTTAACCCTGTCTCGGCAGATGACAAGGCGCTTTAAAGACGCCCACTTTGATGTTCTTAATTCCTTTCATGATTTCTACAAAAGCAAGTCGTACATGTTAGGTTGTTTGCTGACTGTCTAGCCTATGATGAGAAGGGAGTAAACATGGTAGTTAGCTCTTACACAATGCACTACTCCCCACCTTCAAGTAACCACTTTGTTCTCAGAACTCAGTTGCTGTAAACGAGACTGATCATTTCAAGCGCACTTGATCACACCGGAGATCCGCCTACTCCATATGATACGAATCAAAGGTGTACAAGCAATTCTACCTCCTCGATAATTAACAAGGCTAAAAACTCCGTAGACTCTTAGATGGAACGGAAGCATTGCTATTTCGTATTTCTGCAAGTAATTAGCATCTTTTCCTCGAAAAATAGGCACACCAAAAATAAAGGAGGCGGATGGGGCCGTGTTTTCCTTAGTTCCAGGCAAGGAAGTACAACATGAACCCTATTGGTTACCTTATGGGTGCTCTGAACACCTCGTTATGGACACTTAGTTGGGTGGTCGAGACTTTTATGCATTCTACTGTCTCAGATCTTTCCGTCGATTAGTGAATAACGTACGAAAACGGTATAGGCTGTAGTTGACAAAGGAAAACCCTAGTTTAGTGTACACTTTTCCCGAACGACACTCCATTCTTGTGGCAGCAGTCTGTAAGCAAATCTTGTAACAAGCACTAGCGCTCACACAGTCATACAATACTCATTCACAGCTGCGCATTAAGGCGAAAATGGTAAGGTGAGAAGCATTGTAGGCACTGTTGCAACACTACCACTTCCACACCTGTGGCGATTGCATTTCTTGTTACATAGCCGCTGTGGTGATGGTGGTGATAGTGCGAAAGCGGTCGAAATTTTTCTCCCACTCAGCTATTTGGCAAGCCAACAACGTTGCTAAATGAAACGGAGAAAAGAACTACACAAAGTTAAGTAATTTGAGGTAGAAACGGAATTATAGATTTCCCGAATAAGGCAAGAAGTGTTCCTATTCTCCGCCCTAATAAGACACAGAAAAAGTGCTTTTCATGGAAGTTCTTTGAGTGGTTGGTAAAATAATTTTGGTGGCGCTTTGTGGGCACAACTGAGGTCATTAAAGTGGCGAGCCATATGCGAATGGGAAGGTTCTGAGATGGCCTGTCCTGGATGCATATGTCGCGGTGAAAGCGAGGTCTCCAGGGTAGGTGATAAGCAGGGCGGACTGAAAATACTCGCGTCAGGAACATATGCCACGTCAAATGTAGGGAGAATGGTATAGCACAAAACCAACAAGCTTCTTCTTAACTTGTCAGGCGGCTATGGATTTGGTGTATCAACAGTGTGCGTTGAAATCCGTGCCAAGTATTGGGATCACAGCATCCAGAGAACAACAGATGGACCACCAGTCGACCAATTGTTTTTCTACCCTTCATTAAAACAAATCTAGTGTGAGTAGATTTGTTTACTGATCAACTTTCCGTAGAGGTACTTTGTAGTTGCAGGACAGGTAAAGGTGGAGATGGAGATCATTAATGACCAACCAGGTGGACTTTATTACGGCATGCGGTGGGGAATCACTAAGCCCTCTCACCGTCCCCTCTCCGCATTCTGACCTGCTCGCCCTGACAACTGTGTTTTTCTCAACTATACATGTAAGTGGGCGAGTGGGGTGGCTGTATTGGTGGATCAAATTGCGGATCAAATCAGTTACCGGGGTGATGGGTTTAGCGGTCGAGCTTAGTGCCTTTGACTGGACAGATGATTAGCTTGATCAGGTGGAGTTTTCTAAATCTTGGCCTTGCATGACGAATAAGCGAAAATCTGACCGAAGTATTTTAAAATCTCTAAAAAATCTTCGGTAATGAGAAATGCCGAGAAGTTATGTGCCTAACCGAGAAGAAGAGGTTCAGCGGTGGGGGGAATTTTGTGGTAATTTGTTAGTTGAAAGAAATGAAGAAAGTTTAAAGGCTGCTTCCAAACTATTATCAAATAGGCGGAAGTAATTTAGCAGGTGGTTTAAAACTTCAGAGGTTTTTTAATAGTTTTTGCTTAAGCCGCACAGTATAAAGCAGAAAAACGTTTCAGGATACTCTGCGCTGTCTTTTCAACTGTCTCTTCCTCATTTCTTATCCTTTTAGCATAAAATTCTGGGTGATTCTAACGGAATGGGTCTGAACATGTCTTGTGATTTATACTGATTATGTTCAGTCCAGCTCTAAAGCTATAAATTTTTCCTGTATACCATTTGAAGTAGGTGGGGCAGTAGAATGCCCCACTTTAATTCTGGAAAGTCAGATCCAATGTGCTCACAGAGGCTCTCTGTCTCAGACAATGAAGACTTACAAGTCGCTCTTGTATAAAGTTTTATTTGTAACCTGCTAAGAATAATCTTACGTAGTGCTAAATCTGTGTGATGTAGGACAATTGGCTTACAACTGTATTAATGAGATGGAGAAGTGACATAGAGGCTCTTGATCAGGTGAACGCAACATCCATTACTTTATGGTATTGCTCACTTTTAAATCTTCCGCTGACTAATCCACTGACTGAGTGACTTGCAATGAAATTTTTTTGAATTCTACCGATGAGAGTCCAAACATATCCTCAAACGTTTTACTACTCATTCCTCACTTCACCCTCACGAGACTGTGCCCATTTCGAGTGTTTATTGTGCATTGTGCCGCAAGAAAGTGTTCACTTGTAAAAGGCCGAGAAATGATAGCGGTTGATACCTTTCTCCTTAATGCAACTCGTTTGGGCTCAGTAAAAAAGCGTCTTTTTTTCTTGAGAATCAGGCAGGATTAGTCAGTTAATAAATCCATCAGCAGGAAGTGTTAGATGATACCTCTTCCTCCTCCTCTGTATTTCGGTCACATCTTTTCAAGCGAATCTCATCTATTCTTATCACTGGCCAATCACATGGAGACAGAGATACTTTGCAAAGGTAGAATTCCCCAGCTTTTATTTCGACGAGTGGCGATCCAAGACTAAATAGTTATTTATTTAAAAGCATAAAATATATTAGGAATCTTTTTGAGTTTTAAATATTATTACGTTTGCATATGATACTTAAGGCGTTACTATTTCTCCCATTTGGAAGGTTAATCGAAGACTTCTCAGAAATTACTACCCGTATGATCTTATGGTTTTAGCGAATAGCCTAGCCTTTACCGGCTTTAATACGCGATGATAGTAGAGGAGAAGTGACCGCATTTTTCGGCTTGTTCTGATCCGAACGACGCCATGTGACCTAACCGATCTCGCAGCAGCAGCGACCAAGCTGTCAATTTAAAATGGAGGCAACAGGAATTTAACCAAAAGTGGCAAAAGAAGAGGGTAAAGAATATTTAAAAAACTTAACCTTCCTAATTATTATCTTTCTTCGGATTTGCCACTTCAAGGTAGTTCGATGCCACCAAAGCTGAAAGCGGAGGTGTGAGAACAATCGATTGAGAGATGAGAATGTCAAAAATGATCGTGTGTCAGGGCGCAATCGATACAGTTGTCACACGAATAGGCCAAATGCAGTACCTCTTGAGAAGGTTAAGTTTGTCATTGATAAAATCTTAAGGGGGATCTGTCACTTGGGAAAGTCTTTATTAATGAACGAACCCACATGTCACCACACCCGAAAATTTTGACCTATACCAACCGAACTTATAGCACAAAGCTTTATTTTTATTTCAAGGTATATTTGGTGTCGGAATATTTTATAAGTAGACTAATAAAATAGAAACGAGTAAACGGAACAACTGACAGGGTAGAACTGGGCCCCCCGCCCTTGGGGATAGTTGTGGGTGCAGGGGAACTTGAGCTTCTGGCATCACTGAGTTACTAATATGTTATCATTATCTCTGCTTGTGGTGGTGCACCTAGAAACCGTTTCTACGAAAAAGTTTCATTTGCCTTTTAATGCTTGTCTGGCATCCCCCATATGACCAAATCTCCCTGGATTGCCATAGAGTGTAGGCTTGCACGCAACCGCATATTCAGGAAAGGATGCAAATATTGCAATGATGACAGCTTGGTGAACTGTCATCCACCCTAATTATCTTGTTATGAAGAATGAGAGGTGTTTTAGCCATTGTGCTGGACTCTTGCTATTCTTCTCACACATTCGTGGAATGCGCTCCACACACATAAGCCTTTAGCTACTTTTAAAGGGACGTGCCTGTTGCAGCAATAACGGTGTTAGTGGTGTCGCCTATCGGTCACCCAAAATCTCAAGTTCTGCAAAATGGAATGAGACGAAGTCAAGTTATATTTACAATTATAAAATGAACACTGTGAACTCTGACCCTAACCTGAAGGCACAATTCGTTATTATGCTGCAATGAGCAGAAAACATCCCAATATGGAGGGATGTGCAAGGTGGAGTTGAGCAATAAGAAGACAGCAAAGCCTGCCAAGTGTTCACAAGTGACCAAAAAAGGTTTTGTAACCTTCATTATAGCATGCTACAATAACTTGGTGTAATTAGGGAGAAAATGAGAAACAAATTCAGCACTTTAGCTCAGTGCTGTTACTCTTTATTGTCTTCTCTACTATTTTGCCCTTATATGAAATGTCTGTTAAATTTAATTGGAGTATGCAAGCTCAACTCGTTTCCAAAGTTGTAACTGTAAAGGTTATCGAGGTGATTCCAATACAGTACTTGAAGAGACAATTCTGCAAGGGAATGCGCCTTTCTTGTGATTCTGATTAGGACTACTCAAAAATGGATGCACTTCTTTGTTGTTGCAAATGTATACTATCTTGTGATATTCTTCCCCGTCTCGTGAAGAAGGACTATCTACTGGATTGCCTTGTGGAAGTCGAACTAAAAGAGTTACTGCGTGGAACTCATAGGACAGTCACAGTCTCGCGCCATTCAGCTCCAGTCACTCGCACTGTTTGTCTCACAGGCCCTCTGTAACGTTCATAGTATAACTGGCACCAGGTTCTTGCAGGTCCCAATGACTTCAGAGACATCTCAGGGGCTACTTGTTGGGTAGCGAACTGGCTCCTTACTAATGGTATTATATAAAACGTGCTTAAGCAGCTAGGCCTCCTAGGAGAAAATACTAGCCGAACCCCCATAGGCATCCTGCACAACTATAACACGCATTTGAAGCCCACACAACTAAGAATCACGCTATTTAATGCAATTATCATCAAGGGGACTGGTAGGTGTTCCGTGGGATAATTTAGTAATTGGAGATAAAGTTATCACTATTTATGGGGATTCCCACGGTCTTTGAAAATGCAATTATGTGTGCAAACAATGTTTAAACACCTTTATCAGCCTTTTCTTAGCAGTCACGGTGGTATCACTAGCTCTACAGAAGGGCCATTCAACAGACACTAATTGACAACATTTTTTTCTTTTATTTTATTGGGCTTGTAGCTGTCAAGTCACCTTAAAATCTCCCTTTACTACTATACTGTGTAATAATTGTCTATGCAGCCTAACATTGACGTTTGGTACACGTGTCGTAGGTCATTCCTGACACTTAATCAAGATGGCAAGGTAACAGCAGTGAAATCGTTAAGCACTTGCTCCGATGGTAGACTTCCAACGGTGATAAGATGATCGAGGGCTTCAGAAAACAATCTATTATAGTGATTCATTTCATTGTCGACCACCACACAAACTGTTTAAGGAATGCCTGCTAAGGTCACAAGGCTACAAAGGAGTTGGGCAAGCCTTTCTGTAGCACCGGCAACCACACAACAATTATTCTCAGTGACTTAGGTAACAGAGTGGATCAGGTTGTCCTAGGACTGTCCCCTTGTGCTGACGAAATCCCTCTATCCTGCTATTGCTCTCTACCTCGAGTAATAAGTGGTTCAACTTGAACTTGTACCCTAGTTACTGGCCGACATTACAGATAAGCTTAATCTGCCACAGAGATGAAGCCAAATTCTCATATTTTTAGGCGATTCAATGTTTGTAGTTGACACTTTGACTGCAATACCAAAACTATCCTTTTTTTTGTTTTACTTTTCTCCCCTAAAAGCCCGGAAATTAAATTTAATTACCTTTTTACTACACTTGCATAATGCATTAAAATCCCAAACCTTTTTTTTACAAAAGATGTATCATTTATAACTTTTACCTTAAAAGGACAGCTTTTATTCCAGTGTTATAAAAAAGGGTGACTAGCATATGAAATAGATTGACCGGGAAGGGGGAATGGGGTTTTAGCAAGTGCGTGTGTTAGTACACTAATACAGCCAACCAGCCAACCGACCGATCAGCCAATCAAGGAAAAGAGGGAGGTGGTGGTGGTTGAGTAGGACATGGGGGAGACGACGGTATAGACAAAAGAGCGGGGTGGGGTAAAGCACGAAAGAATTGTGTCAACATTTCCGGCGATAGATGAGTGCTGCTCTGTCGCCGCAGTTTAGCTCCCAAATTGAGCACAATTTCCATTGGTCCTTGAGGCGGAGTTGGTTCAGGAGGTGAACTCTGCTCATCGGTAGGCGATTGGTCTTCCGGTGGTAGTGGTGGAGTGATACTGCCACTGGTGATCGACAATTGTGAATCCGCTGTTAGATAGGCAGAATCTAGGCTCTGACGGGTTGGCTGTGGAAAATCTGATCTGCCTGGAACATAACGATCCGACCAAAATAATTTCCCTCCGTTATTTGGGTAGCATTGGAAAGGCCATAATCCGTGTTTTTGAGTTGTTGGAGAAATAAATGATTGCATTAACAAATGCTGGGTATTCCTTCGCAAATAAGAGAAGATTTTAGTAGTAAAAGCGCAGAACGGTTTTGCTTTTGGAGCACACTTCGTTGAATACATAAGTATCTTCGGGTGCACAACCCGAACTAGTCAACAGGATAGGATTCACTGAAATTGCTTTTCAATGCCCACATAAAAAAGAATAAATAAATGACAAGTCTACTACTGAATATTTCACTGAAATAATTTTGACTGCTTTTCAAAATTCTCCACTGCCCCCTAAAAATTTGAAATCAAACGCCATGTATTTTGTAAATAGTTATTACCGTGTTTGAAATGTTCGAGTGCCTCTTGTCAACTTGAAAAAAAACCAGAGGAAAAACAAATTGACTAGACGAGCGGTGGATTGGGCACTTCCTATCGTCTTAGGAGCACAAAAATTAGGGTATTTAGCGTGTAGAAACTTAAATTTCCACTTGTAACCCTTTTTTCCATTCAAGGTAAGCATTTTGCGTTAGTTGAATAGGCCTTATAAATGCGAGCTACAAGATTTCCCGTAACAATTTTCCTCTCTTTCCATCTCCTTTTACAGAGTCATTACAAACCTAAAAAAGGCTATATACTTGATTGTGTTAATTGGCACTAACTTGCCGTAAACCCTTGACAACTTAAACGAGCATCGTCTCCTTTCCTCCTAAAGGTCATTTTCAAGATGACTGTAGCCAAGTTCTGCTTTTATAAGCAGAATATTTATAAAAAGGAAATAACCTTCTTGGTAGAAACTCTTTTGAGCGCCAAAAGTGAGATATTGAGAAGGGACAGGGTAAAAAAAGGATGATATTTTATGGAATCTTTCGCTACAACGACTTTGTGTACCCTGTAAAGACTTATGCTTGATTTTTTCCTATGTACTGTACTCTACTTCCCTGTATTTTGAGACACTGCACCACGAAATGTCTGAATCTGATGCGGATTTTAACTTGTCCACTTTACTAGTTAAGTTTGACCGGACTTTAAGTGCAACGACTACTACCTTGATATTTGCTTTTTATGCAACACTTGAACGAGATGAGGTGTGTTGCTGTACAGCCTACCACCCGAAAACTGAGGACTTTACAAAGACTCTCCATTCTGGATAGCAATGGCGATTTGTATGCTGCCATTAGACAAATGGCAGCTGTGGGAGAGGTATAAAAATGAGTGAAGGTGAAGCAATTAGTTTGCCTCTAATTCAACCGCCTAAGGGAAAGTAGTGGAAAGTAGAAGCTAATCAAGATTGGCCCAAAAATTATGCTTAACGGAGGATTTAAATAAATTTTGCGTTCTTAAACTCCATTACATATTTTGGAAAACCCACTGGTGAATTTTAGATTGTTTTTCAACCGACCGATAGACTGATTTACGGGGAGAAATGACTTCTCCAAACTATTCACTACTTATACTTTTACAACGCACATTACGTTATCCCCACAAGACCATGCTTGCCCTGCATGTGCCCAGGTGGGCTGTGATGGAGAGAAATATACAGAAGAAAACTGGTACGTTTGAGATTTGACTGCTCAAGGCAACATGACACAATCCGAATATATCCAGGAAAAACATATATTCATCCCTTGAACAATCTAACCTAATCAATTAGCCAGAAGATTTGGTTCATATAAGACAACGCTAGGTCTCGCATAATACACCATAGCAAAACTGACCCATGAAGGGTACTACATTATCCACCATGTTAATGTGACCATGCCCCCTTGCCTTTTCCAGCGTTCAGACAATCGCATAATTGCACAAAAGGAGCAGATGGAGGAGCAAGGAAAGCAGGGATGAAATTGCGCGCAGCCACGTCCGGATGTTTAACTTTTGAAATCAAAATGAGCATAACTTAAGTGACCCAAGAAATAGTCAGAAGTCTCGAAACAGCCGGAGTGAGAGAGATATTTTGAAGGCCATGCCTCAAGGTACGTAAAAAGATAATTTGCGAACCTTAGGCAACAGTACTTTTAAGCCTACTAAGTTTAAAATCACCCACATTGGTCTATGGTAGGCAGGTGAGAAAAGAAATATCATATATGACGAAGGCATTGCTTTAGTCAATTCCAAATTATCCTTGACAAAACTCACGAAGTTGTGGAGGAGTAGAGGTGCTGATGCAATTCTGCTCCACACCGGATTTCGCCAGCAAATGATGAAAAGCAAGATCCTCTGCTGCTTGTTTGCGTTTGAGCGCCACTTGTGCAGCCATAATTCGCTGACGCTCTACCACTAGTAGACACTGTTCACATCGGCAGTCGCGAAAAGCACAAAACCTCTTGTGTCCCTTGATCCATGCTATTACCCCGTGATTCCTGCAACGAGCGCACTTGGGTTTGCGAACACCCGCCAAGCCAGAATAAAAGCTGGTTTCGGTGGTCATATGTGGAGGGCGGGAAACATGGACTAATAGCACTTGTCTTGCGCCTACGTGAGGATTTTTATGCGGGGCTGTGGGGGTATTGTATCGCCATTGGTTTATCGTCTGACCAGTAACAGCACTGCGCGCGGACACGCGTCGCTTATTGGCCAATAGGATGATAAAAGATTTGGATGACTAGAACGATCAAACGGCTTCCAAGAAGGTATGATTAATCCCCATTACAGAAAAATTAATGATGAGTAGAAGTAGGTAGGAGTCAACATTACAAAATTTCTCCGATACTTTGCTCAATCAAACCCCTTAACCCTAATATTACTTCTTTATCCGATTACCTAGTAAATAGTCTATGTTACTGAGATTATTTTTGAATTTAAAACATAATAAATTAGTTTTACCAGACATTTCTCACCACAAATAAAGTACATCATTAATCTAGCCTATAACATCCTCAAAAACACCGTTTAATCAAAGCCTAGACACCCTTATGCTTATTGAAGAGATTTCTTGGACAGGAGGAAGTCCGGAAACCATTGTTGCTTCCTAATGGAAGTTCAAGGAAAGCGTTCTCTCAATAGTAGCATAAATTCTACCTCGAAGCGCCTATGTTTCTAACCCTCGCCTAATTTGTGGAGAATATGCTAATCTTTAGAAGAAGAAATTTGGCAATTTGCACTCAGAAGATTAACTCTAAGGGTTAGTTTTAGGGCGTGAGATGGGACAACTTGCACTATTTTGCAAGGAAAGGACTTTTTTCTGACTAAACAGCTTTGGCAGTTTCTCGAGAAGAATAGGTTTTTGTTTAGTGTCTAGTGAACAGATGTCAGCCGTATTTTATACTTGGTCTTTAACAATTGCTTAATCCTTGGTGGACAATCCTGGACTTTAAGATGACCCAAACGCACGCACAATCACATAAAGGAAGCACACTTTAGGGGAGGACAGAACGACGTGTGCCCTAAAAGAGTAGGCTCAGGATGTATGGTTAGTCGATAGGTAGTGGGGTAACTGTCGATATGTTTGTTCGCCCACAAGGCGTTAGAGAGAATGCGAAAGCCATTGCTTATCATGAATTAGCCTATCACATAGTCAGTTAACAAACCAAAATGCAAGGTTCTTTTTTGTAAGGGGAGATAAGTAAAGGAATGGTAAACAAATTATCTTGGAATTTCGCCGCCAGCACCTGTAGGTCGGTTGCGTTATCCTCATCGAAAGGCGTTTCCTATTCAAAAGCTTCAGAATTGACTTACCAATAGCAACGGGCATTCCTTCCCTTTTATTAGGGCAAGTAAGTCTTTTCAATAGGCAATCTAACTGCTGGCGGTTCTTTTGCCTACCGGATACTGTTTCCTCTCAAAGTGTCAAATTAGAAGTTGCCTCATCATTGGCAATTGGAATCAACTCGGTATTGCGTCGGATTAACCAGATTTGATGAGGTAGTTTAAAATGATAGATTCATTATATCCATGCTTTGTAAATGACCGAACGCTCTTATGAGTCAATAGAACTTACAATGGCATTGCCATTAGTCATCCAAACCCATGGCTACCTGTGCTAGAGCGAACTATTCATTGATGGAAAAGTAACCAGTATCATTGATTCATGAACGTTTTTGTATGACTTAAGGATGAAGGCACTCCTTTACCACATCAAGGAAACCTTTTAGGTATTCACAGTAATAAGGGACTATGAGTAAATTAGCCCTTGTCTCTAAATAATGACATGGAACCGATAAGGCGGTAATCTTTTCGCAGCCATGCTGTATGTAAAGTCTGATTGACGAATTTGCTTTGATAATTGCAGAAAAATGTTTAATTATCACCTCACTTGCGAGAATTGGCTCCCATTAAGGCGATGGCAATTAAGACGGTTGACGTGGTAGAGGTGGTCCTGTCGTATGCCGTTTTATTGCGATTAGCTTAGCAGTGCTTCATTGTACTGTAATGTCGAGCATTTTTGCCACCACTTTTAGGGCCAGTGAGGTGGCGGCCATGTCCGGATGAAGTAGAGTTGGTGTGGAGGTTAGAGGTCAGTTAGAAGGAGCATAAAACATTTCGACATAAACCGCCTTGCAGTTAAGTGACCCATCTGCTCAGTCATGGTGAGCAGAAACCAGGTGGCAACCAGTACCCTATTGCTTCTTCACTCTTATCGATTTATAAAGGGGAATGGGGAGGGGCGACAGCTACTGGACCTGCCGATAAAATCATATGGACAAACTTCAGGTCTACTTGTACATGCATACGTGGCTTGAGTCCTATGGTAACAAACCTCTATCGGAGGGTCAAATTTGTAAATATTTCGGTGTGTCAGGGTGTTTTGAAATGCAAGGGCTGAAGCGGTACTATTTTTACCTAGCAGACATGTAGAAAGGGATTTGTAACTATCACCTACCTTTTGACAGGGTCTTTGCCTAGCATTGCTCACTTTTTACTTATGATCCAACAAATGATACTCCCATTTGATCTTAGAGTCGGCGCCTCTACTAAGGGAATAGACATGTATCATGCAGTCGGTATGATCTAACATCATCTGGGAAATGGAAGGCATGGAAACAGCGAAGCAAATTGGTTTGGCTCTCCTTAATCTCTCCATAAGACTGAGCTTGTGCGTGTGTATGCTTGATGCATTGTAAAGCATGTAATTTGCCATTGTGAATTCTTTTCTCACCGAAGGTTACCCAATGATAGTAGCTTAGAGATCAGTCTGTTTGATGCAGCAAAATAAAACAGTTAAAAAATAGTCAATGAGTCAGATCCTCAAATCTCAAAGCAAGGCAAGATCTCATCAGACTCGAAATTGATCTTTTCTTGGCTGGGAGAAAGGATAGAAGATGCCATTTCCTTCTTTACCTTCCCCTTAATATGTCCTCCTCCAAGTATTAGCTATATTCTTTGGGTTGAATATTCACATGGGAAGCAAAATAGACGTAGGAGTGGAATAGAATGTAAAGAGCAAAAGCTAAGTGCTTCTCATTTTAAATCCTAGGAAAAGAGAATGATTTTTGCCGAAAAGTGTGGGAGTAGATGGTTTTGTTTGCCCTAATGACTAACCTTCTATCCAAAATGGCAAAGCTTAGTGGTATTCTTAGTGAAAATAAAAAATAATCTTTAACTTTTTGACAGAAATAAGCGAAGTTTGAATGTCGTCTTCAGAATGCAGATGTTTAGGTAAGAGGTCATTGGCTTCATCCTAACATTTTACAAGGTCTCCACATGTCAGAAAGTATTTTTTATTACACTCCCATTAAGTACTCCCTCCGTATATAACGCTAATGTCTCTGGTTATGAAGGAAATAAGTAAAAGTTCATTAAATTTCGATGACAGGTGGTTATCATTGCATTGGTGCACATCAAGTTTTTAAATGAGCTTCGAAATTACCTTTTTGGTAGTCAGATGCTCCTAACAGATGTTCAAAATGCCTTTAATGCTTCCACTTTTACAGGCATTACTACCACCACCTGTCAGGTGACATTACCGTTGATTAGACAGAGTGACCCCATTAGATAACCTTCTAAAGATTTTACAGTAATTTGGTGTAGACGCAGCCATAATTGGTGGACAGTTTTCCTACTGTCTTCCAGACTAAAAGGCAACCCAGCTGTCATCTAATATTTCACTGCTTATCTTATAATCTAAGAGATCAGCCAGTTTGCAATCGTGCTCCACTTCCTTATCAAATCCTGCCCCCCTACTAGCAGCTTCTTGGCACTTTCACTCTTTTGTAAGGCAGTTTGGTCTCAGTGCACTGTTTCTAATAGATAAGCACCTACAGGTACCTCGGTACTTGGCCCCACTTGCAGAGGTTTGCTACTTTCTATTTTTGTCTGGATTACCGTGGTCTATATACATGTAGGCCATGTAAGTTAGTGTTAAAAAATATTAAATCTTCCACGCCATCCTACGTAGTTACAAATCTGGGTAATTAAAACGCGTGTGAAACATGGATACCTTCTCTGGTTCGCTGTGAACGATTGCGGTTTGGCTCCAGCAAATCGAGACTTAGAAGATGTTGGAGTTCCCGTTGTCAGTCTCCACAGCCTCAATCATTCAATTATTATGCCTTTCTATGCACCAAGCAATTTCGACTCATAATCAAGCCGCTTTGGAAGGAGTAGATGCTCTTTCGCAGCCGACTTGCCATTTGAGTCAGCTCTGAAGGTGTCGCAAAGTCCATAAAGATTCAGCTGTCTGTAACATGGTTGTACAGCATAGTCCTCTTCCAAAAGTGTGAAGTATGACATGTCTATAGGGTAAGCATACCCTTGTGGGTATAAAATGATGTGTCTTAGAGGTGTACAATGAACTGTGCATAGCTTGGGGAGAAGCAGTGATTAATTTTCTTCCCATAACCTGCACCGCTGTATGCAAATCACTTCTCAGCACAACTGCTTCAGTTAATCAACCAGCGAAAAATTCCAATATATAACAACTAAAATAACAAGTTAGCGTTTCTTGATGTCCTTGAATGGCCCCACCTTTTGGTAAAAGTCACCAAAAGCTTTCCTTTTACAGCGACACGTAAATCTTCAAAATGGTCGGCCCACAGCCTGGTGAACGCCACCGGGATCATTCTATGTGGTTCTGCTATTGTGTACCTCACCTCCTCTAAACGTTACACAACAATGCTGTAAGAAAGCATCCATCGCATTGAAAGCGACTTCGCCTTGGTTAGTGAGATAAACAAAGCTGGAATATGTAAAATTTGATCAAAATTTTACGGCCGGTAAATATTCAGGAGGCCATAAAGAGTGCCCTCCCGTTAGGCAGACGCATATCTGTCCACCCATCCAGTTGTGCCTCCCCACGTACATACGAATAAAATAGAATTGTAAGCTTTGGAGATCCCTTTATGGTTTGTACACAGGTCGTGGTGCAACATCGAGACGTCATTTGCCAACTACATGGTGAGCTTTAAAGTTGGCTCCGCAAGGAGAAACTTTCTAAACATTTTAATTGTACGCATGTTCAAAAAACAGATTCCTCTTAAAATATTGCTTCTT